AATTTATTTTTATTGTAATTTTAGGGAGGAAGGCTGTATAAGTGTAGAAGAGAGATCATGTAAACGGGGGTGTATTACTACATGTATTTTTCATGTAAAAAACTCATTATTTCTGGTAGTAATTGACAAAATCACAGAATATCTAAATAAAGCTGTTTGGCTTATGAATTCATCTCCGTTTCATTCTTGTGCCCAATTTTTACTTGACCTTTTAGAAACGGATTGTGAATTACTCCCTCTAATAGTCTAATTCCAGATAAGGTCAATCAATCTTGTTATTGACTTATTGTTGGTTTATAAAATCTGTTCTACGATACTATGAAGCATTTCGTACTATACTAGTACATACGAGTATTTATTGTCATATACTCTCTATGATCACAAGGTTTATTATCACTAATAATACTGCTCGTACTACAGTTGTTTTATAAAGTTCTACTCAGTTACTATTGTTTGTTCATGTGGTTAAATTTTTATAACATTGATTGTTATATTATACTTGTATGTTGTATTCAATTACATGGTCATGTAGGATGTACTCCGTAATATCTATGTAATTAGATTTGTTTCAATTTTTATTTTAAAATTATCAAATTTTCATATTTTATAACTCCACATAATTAAAGATATAAATTATCAAAATTATTCAAGATTGCATACAATAACGAGTATAAGACCTTTTTTTTCAATTTTTTTTTTTTTAAAGTGAAATTATTTTTGCCGAATTTAAATTATTTTTACTGAATTGAAATTAATTTTATTATTTTGAAATTATTTTTTTGGTTCTCCATTATATTTCTTCTTTACAATTACTGATTTTTACGAAACTAAATTTGTTATTACTATTTACTAAACATTATTTTTGGGACTAAAGCTTTGTTATTGTTGTTGACTTGTTGTTGAAGAGAATCGGGCCTAATATATAGAATAGAGGGAGAATATTTAATTTCTTAACACTAACGTTTTAAATGGCTTATATTTAGATTGAGGTTGAGAGTAGGGCTGTATAGAGTGCGGTTTAGACCGCACCAAACCGCAAACCAAACCAATTGCGGTTTGGTGCGGTTTGAAAATTGCGGTAAGGTTTTTGAAAATGACTAAACCGCGGTTTGCGGTTTGGTGCAGTTTCAAAAACTATTTAGACCAAACCGCACTTTAATGCGATTTGCGGTTTTAGTATATTTATATTAAAAAATATAAAAGAACTAAAATATACGAGCTAATCTTTGACTATTAGTTAATTAAAGGTTAAAAAAAATGTTTAATATTTGAATTATAAATTAATAATTACAAAATAAAATAAAAGTTTTGTTTTAAAAAGAATAACTATAATTTTAAAAAAGTATAGTTAAACCGCAAACCGCACCGCACCAAACCGCATTTTGCAGTGTGGTTTGGTGTGATTTTTTTAGAAGTGTGGTTTGAAAAATTACAAACCGTAATTTTGCGGTTTAGGATCCAAACCGCACTGCGAACACCCCTAGTTGAAAGGAGTTCTAGTCATGCTCTCCAGTTTTACTCCACCCATACAAATTATAGCAATATCTCTACCTCAATTGGAAGGATGCATTATAATTGGTTATATATCACTATTAGGGAGTCGCTTCACTGGATTTATTTAATTTTTTTTTGACAAGAGGATCTAAAAACAAAAAAACGAAACAACAACACACACAAGACAACCACTACATTAAGTGACTTAAACCTAGGAAGGACCAATGTGAGCAAGCTTCACACGATTTAAGTTGCTAGACTCCAGAACAAGAGGCGAAGCCGCACGTTGTTTTGAACCCACACGATCCATCCCGCAACCTGTAAAAACCTTATCAGAGCACATCTTACCTGACGTCCGAATATGAGAATGAGAAATAGTCCGTTGTTGGCGATTCAAGCGAGACGAAACCCTAAGCCTGGACGGCAAAATTGGAAGTCGAAATGCAGAATCCCGAAGACTGCCTACAAACCCAGGAGAACTAGCCTCTATCTGCGGGCTAGCTTGAAATGCTGAGGCCTTGATCAACTCTTCGGAAACATGATTTGCAGCTGTGTAAATTGTGGGCGATTGAGAAGAAGCACGCGAGACCTTTTGAAGGGGAGCCGCTTAGTGCTTCAAGCCACACATTGGAGGAACCAAAGGAATAGAGGTCTTCGCTTCCCTGGATTTTTCACCTAGGGGGACCTCTGTCAAGATTTGAGTTTTACTCGGGACAACCCGAACCGTCATTACTGATACAAACTTTGAATGATAAAAACTGAGCAAATCATCGTGGATAAGACGCTGCAAATTAGAAGATGTAATCTGAAGAGATGAACCAGAACTTCCACGGGATCGGAACCTACGCTGGTGTAAACCATTATCCAGCTGAGATGAGACTCACTTCCCAAAACATTAGGGACCTCAGCATCTGACTCTAGCGAAGAAACCCCACTCATAGGACTTACAACATCACACTCATATCATCCCACTAGGCCACACCTCTGCAATGACCTCCATATCACAAACTCCTTGCATGTCCGAAGTAGAGGTAGCTTCAAGGATTGACTCGGACCTTGAACTCCCCAAATTGTGATCTACGGAAGAGGCACAACCTAAAAGTCTTTCAACCTCCGGTTATTCTTTTAACACTTCCAAATTCCTCAAATCTCAGTTAACTGCCTTGCAAAGGTCGGATTTGGCGGGTTTAAGATCGCCTAACCCCTTAAAAGCCAAGACTCTCCTAAAAAAAGCCTTTAGTATGATAGGAGTCAAACCTCAACACAAACGAACATTACCTAATTACTCTATCAAATTCCTGTAATTTCAGGGCACACGTAGCCAGATTGAGATGTAAAGCAAATGCTAATGAGCAAAACATAGCAAAAGCCTGGCAAACTAAAACACAACAATTTACTCGCTAAATCATATTTGGACAGAGCAAGTTTAAATTTGCTTTCTTTGAACAAGGAATTACCTTCCTCCTTGAAAACTTTAGAACAGATTAACACATCATCCGGACAAACCAAAGAATCAAGAATACGCACAACATGCTTGTCATTAAATTCATTGGGAAGATGGAACTCAGCAAAAGCAGGACACAATTCCTAACTCCATCTCAAAACGCGTTCCAAACTAAGAACAAAATAACACCCAAGGCTAAAAGAACAGAACACGTCCCTTAACTGACCACGGATAGTCGACGGAGCAATATCCAAACGAAGAACAAATTTGAACACAGCAACAAAATGAAACCCCAAGCCAACGAAATTAAACCAAAGCCACCAACTTGAAACTCTGACACAACTAGATTAAACCCAGGCACTGACACTAAAATCAACCATAACAACAAGAATAACTTAATTAAAGTCCAAGCCAACACACAGCAAACTAGGTAGAAACGAGAAAGCTTAGCTTGGGAGATGAAAATACAGAGCCCAGAAGAAGTATAATTGAAGTAGACAAAATACTCTTCTCCCTCAAAGAAACGGTGCAGGGGAGAAACAACAACTTCACACCGAAACGCTGCTACTTCGGCAGATGTTTTCGTCCTCGAACTCCCTGGCCTTCTTTATTTGAAAGAAACTAAGAGTTGGCTAAAGCAAACAAGAGATTACAGGACTCGCCGGCGACTGCAAGGAGAAGAAAAGCCAGACGCCGCGAGCAGGGGAGCGGTGGGGAAGGCGGTGCTATAAGCGGTGGGATAAGAACAGACAGCTCTCTCTCTAGAAAGTTTTTTTCGGGCGTCTGGATTGTTGGATGAATGGCGAGGACAAATGATAAGGAAAGTTAACAAAATTACTCGTATTCAACATGCATACTATTTAAATGAGTCAACTACCAATGACTCACACCCTTTCTTTTGGGCAAGGATACTCTATCATACAAGTGTACAAGTATTGTTGATATACACATACAAACTTTATATTGCATTCGAGGTTCTTGTGAATATTCCTGATAATTACTTGTGGTTATTGTCGAGGTCAGTTTTACTGCTTTGATTTACACATTTAGTATAGCATAATTTATAAATGTCAAGTGTTATATGGAGAATGTCTGATCATCCAAAGTACATCAAAGTGGATTCCTCCACCTGATAATTCCAGATGTTTGTCGTCGTCGCGCCTTGAAACAACTGATATTGTACTTTTCCCCTTACTGTAATTCCCGCAGCTGCCTCAAATGACATCTGCGTATGTACTGTAAGGGACACCGAGAATGAGACCAAAATTTTAAAGGAACTAATACTGCTCCCAAGGACTTCGACCTGCTGCCATGTTAGTATTCATAGGCAATGATCCAGCCACAAGGAACTAAAACATTTGCATCAGGTCATCTATGAGTTACTGAGTTGGACTGTTGGCGCATTAATATAACAGGTTGAACTCTTAAGAGTGGATAATTGTCAAGATATCTTAATTCTTCATGAAAGCACCTTTACATGACAAAACTACATTTCACAACGAAAATAAATTTGACACTGAGAGTCAAAGACATTACCTTCCAGGCAAACATAATCAGATTAATCACCCGCTTAAGCTTACAGCAAAAATCACAGTACTGGATCCCAGCAGGCTCAGCCTCTTGGATCCCACAGAATGGCCATCCTTTTTAAACAAATTATAGTCGCCACAATCATGTGAACGTACCCTAACAAGCTTCTGATTATTTTCAGATCTAACCCTGGAAGATATGTAAGAACCCCTTGCTCTGCTAGCTGTTGTATGAATTCATATTTTGGATATAATTTGGGATGATGGGTTTGGCAATATGTCGCTCTTGCCATTCATTATGAACTCCCTTCCGCCACTTATCTTTTTACCCCCATATCTCCTTCCCTATCCATCTTCTCATTTTGCATACCATAAAGAATCTCTCTCAAAGTTTTAACACCACCCTCCTCCATAAGGAATCATCCTTGACGCAGGTTTTCTGCCCACTTCATGAATTTCTAAACTCTTGGGCTACTGCCATATGTTGGAGACCCACCACCAAAAAAAAAAAAAAAAAAAAAAAAAGATAAAAATAGAAGTTCAAATAGCAGTATATAAAATGCAGGAAGTGTAAAAGAAACAAGCTCCAAAGTTGTATATCCCACTCAAATGTACATTTGATATCCGGCAAAAATTAGAGCCAAATTTGACCCAGAACTAGGAACGATGCTTGGAAGACCACTTTCACATCCTTCCTTTTTTTCCCGACAGGTACATCATTCCTTTACTACTACATTATATAATGTAACTGAAAATGCTCAGCCAATCATAAATACCTCCAGCGCCGTCTACCAATGATCCGAAGTATATCTTGTTAAGCACATACCACATGGCAACTTGACAAGTACTTCAATAAAAATTCAGACTGTGCCCTATAAGAAGCATAATTTGAAGCTGGAAACAGAACAGGACCAATTTAAGCACAAACTATCCCGCAGTTGTCGTTGACAAGATAGAGATAGGTTTCAAATCTTCTGTCAAGTTGGAGTCGGTATCAAGAACCAGATTCCTCACTCCAGCTTCAATATCCCCTCTATCCCCAATCTCTGCCTTTTTATCATCACAAATTTCACTCCCTGCAGCCTGGACTTGACTGCTAAGCACCGAAAGCTGAGGACCTGAACTAATCCATGGATGATTAAGGCATTGTGCAGCTTTTGGCCTCTTCTCAGGAACAAAATCAAGGATAGGGATGAGGAAATCTGCCAAGTCCTTCGCATCTTGCTCCCCAAAACCATACTTGTCAACAAGCACTTTATTGAGTGGCCAAATTTTTAAATCACGAATGTGTCTTAAATCCCCATTTCTGTTGAAAAACTCATTTGCACGACGTCCGGTTTGAGCTACCTGCAAATGTTGTGCAATTTCAAACAGTATTCACAAAAATCAACATGCAAGTTGCAACAAGGTTTAAATATTCCGTTTGCCTTAAAAAAAAAGGTTTAAATATTCCGTCTTCTCAAGAATTTACAATAAAGAAACCATGACAAATACATCAACAAGAACAAAAGATTCAAGGAAACAAAAACAATAAAGGAAGAACATATTAGTTTACCTTGCGAGGCATCATGCCCAGCAGCTCCATCATCTGAGCAAGGTGGTCCTGCGGAATAACGTTATAGTCATAAGTCACTGATTTAAACTAGTCGCTGAAAGATACATATTCACAGAGGTTTTGACATCGGCATAAATTCTTGGCCATTAAGATACCCGTTAGCCATTACACATACTCCTGGCCTGGTCAACCCACTGAGGCAGTGCTCAAAAGATCTAAGCCACAGACCAACAATCAAAAGATACGCTCAAATCATTAACAATTTTACCCTATCTTGCTGATAAAACTCAAAAGAAAAAGAAAGAGCCAATTATAGTACAAATCAACACAGTTTCAAATACTAATGCTCACGACCTAAATACGACCCTTGCACAGAAAGAGTTCAACATTTACAAGAATCATAAAAACAGTAAACTACAAAAGTAAACAACAGCTTCATATATCGTGCATATAAAGCATGTCAAGCTATAGTTTTCGGATGAATGTTCTAATAGGTTAATTTATAACAATCTGGACCAGAGATAACAACTCAATGACAGGTAATTGCAGTGAACCGTGAACGGGATACAAGATAAGCTAGATAACTCAAGTTCAACAGTTCACTCACTTGTCAGTAAATAAAAGTCCACAAAAGGATTTCAAGGAAGAATTACTATAAATAGACAGCATTCACTATCAACAAAATTAGCAATATGCCCAAAAAAAAAGGAAAAAAAGAATAGAAAAAAAAAAATCCTTTTCAGAATTTAGGAAATAATCTTCATCCTTGTAAAAAGATTCATTTAGCATCCAATCCATTCACAGAAACATGATTCCATAATTCAAGAAAGAAAAGAAGCTCTTCTATCAAGGGACATAAAATGATACTAGAAGCCATACCTCATCCTTACTGTACTTGTCTCCAGAATGAGGATCAAACAAAACATCGCCAGTGGCAAGCTCAAAACATATGCAGGCAAACGACCATAGATCTGCAGGAGTTGAGTACTTGGATCCAAGAATAACCTCTGGACTTCTATACTGCCTGGTTTGAATATCCAATGTGAACTGCTTGTATGTCCAACAAGTATTTCCAAGTCAACCAACTTGCATTTAGCATCTACTGAATTCAATAATCTTTGTTTTGTGGCACGACTGAGTCCTCTATTACTCTTCTTTCCTTGTTCAGCAGAGTTTCCATTTAATATCACTTCATGACTAGATACTTCTAGACCGGGCAACCCAATGCTGGATTCAGAATCCCCAGAGGTTTCTTCTCCAGTACCCTTCTGTGCAGTCCGTTTGGCCTTCTTCTTAATCTTTTTTTTCTGGTTCTTAGTCAAGTTCCCATTTGTGGATTCAGTAGTTACCGGAGGCTCTATTTCAGTCTTAGGTTTACATTTACTAGCTGGAAGCAGTGGAGATGCGCCTGACTTCCTTGGATCTTTTGATGGATCCATCATGGACAATAGTAAGACATTCTCTGGCTTAAGATCAGTATGTATCATTGACAATTGATGATGCAAATAATCCAGAGCAACTAAAATGTGGAAACAAATTTCTTTAACCATGTGAAGTGGGATCCCCTTGTAATCTGAATACTTGATAAGGGTCAGGAGGTTGTCCCCCAAATATTGAAACACCATACACACATGCTGCCCATTTGGACCTGAATGCTTAAAATGATCCAAAAGTTTCACAACACACTTTTTATCATCAGGATCACCATCCGCGATCAATTTGAGGATTTTTATTTCATCCATTGCAGCCTCCGTGTAATGCCTTGCACTTTTTTGAACTTTCAGAGCTACATACATCTACCAGAAGCAAGTAATAGTATTTTTATGTTCATTAGGAATGGACATGAATTATTCTCCTATTTCAAGTTAGAAAATTGCAGCGACAAAATCATAAATCATTTTCCTAAAAAAATCCTTGAGCATATTATCAAACTAAACAAATATCAACATATATATGAATCCAAAAAAGACAATACAAAAATATTTTTACTTGGGCCTTTCACTTTTGACTTTCTTAATCTGTGATACAACCTATGTTTTCCTCAAGGAGTGGTACATGAAACCTCATGTTTCCACATTTCGGATATGTACTATGGAAGAAACTCTTAAATTAATCTTATACTATAACCGGACCTTTACCTATACGTTCACACTTTCAGTTAACCTCAATAACCTTTGGCTCCCAAAATCCCTCGTCTAGTTATAATTACACAAAAGTAGCCTTTCCAATAGGTATTCACACAGCAAACTTCTGGGTTCTGTCTACCTTACACAAACATAATTTGTACTATCAAAGCCATTTTCTTAATTCACTTTTGAAAATACATGATGACGCATTTCTACGTTTCCAACTTCCCATTCACATTCCGTCTCCGCACAACCTCACTCTCAGCATCAATGCTGCTACAGACTACTCATCAGCAATTCCATCATACTACGCAACTATAATTTCCTCCGAAACTTATAATCATTCTCCAAGTCAACTCTACCCTCATTCTAATTACAAAGCTACTTCAAATTGTATTTTCACAATTCATTCCGTACAAAAACAATATTCCTAACTCAAAAATCATTCCGTATCTTACATATTACCGGAAATTCATATCAAACTCACTAACCCAGCAGAAAAAACAAACTATAGAGAATCAATAACAGAGCGAAGAACACAAATAATTCAACCAAAATTTCAAACCGCATAAAAACGAACAAATCACAATAAACTTAAAGATCAATAGACAAGAAATTTACAGAATTTTGAGTGTCCCAAGCAAGCCAAACAGTGGAAAAATGGCCCCAACCAAGCTTCCTCTGAATCACATATCTTCCATTTTTAAAAGTATCACAAATTCGAACTGCGTGATAACCTCCTCTTCGATAATCCTCAGTTCCTTCATCATCCGAAGTGTAATCGCTCTCTTCGTCTCTATCCTCCGCCATTAAAGCAATTAACAGCAAATTACATCAATAAGAACCCTAACTTTAAGCTTGATTCTCGAAAAAACTGAATAAATTGGGGATTTTTGAGATAATTTTGTCGGAAGAGAGAGAGAAGTTTGGAAATTAGGGTTTTGCAGGAATTAGATAGGAAAGGATTACGCCGCCGTCTAAAAAGTTTGCCGGGAAATTTTAAGGGACTCCTAAATTAAGTAGAGTAGTTGTTTACGTCACTACTACGTTTTTCAACGGTATTTATGTTAAGAGGAAAGTTTAATTTTTGTCCAATCTATTTGGTGGATTATAATTGATTCTACTCTTCTACTCTAATTATTGCAACTAAGTATTTATTAATTGAATGAATTTATGAATTGGTATTTATTGATCAAACGTGTGTTACGCTACTAAATTTATTATCATCTTGATGTTTATCAAGTGGCAAATATGAAATAAAATTGCTTCGATATATGTGCGTTAACAAATAGTACAAAAACAACTCTATTTCAGCATAATTAATGTCGTTTGGTCAAGTTATTTATGGTGAAAGTTCAAAAACATTCAAGAAGATGAAGCATCCATGGAGAAAGCTCAGAATCTTCAATGGAGATATCAAAAGGGAAAACTCATCTACCATTTGGGTGGGGTTAACCATGTCCTTTTTCTTCATTTTTTCTTTCACCGCCGAACATGGTGGTGTTGGTGATGACGTCGGTGTATGTCGAATAAGAGGATAGGGTATGGACATGGTGGTGTTGGTGATGAAGGTGGGTGAGGATAAGTGGAGGAAGAAGAGCATGAAAGTGGTGAGGAAGAAGATGAAGGAGGGTGTGGTGTGTGGCTTTTGACATGGAATTAATGATTATATGTTTAATTATGGAATAAATATTTTGTTTGTTAAATATTTATCTTTCACATTGTCAAACTAAATTTTAATCTTATGTTTGCAAAAGATAACATGAAATATGACAAATCTATTTTGTTTAGCTAGGAACTTAATGTTAAAATTTGAGGTTATATGATCGAATTTCGAATAGACTTTATTTACAATTTTGTCAATCTAAATTGATGACATGGATTAAATGAAATAATGTATATTTACAATTTTCTCAATCTAATTGATGTCATGGATTAAATGAAACAATGAATAATGGATACCGGCGTGTTGCACGATCGAACCCATAAGAGACATGAATCAATTACCATACATTATCATGTAAACAAATTTGATTTTTGGAAACTAATTAAAATAGCTAACACTAAAGGTGGTAAATCCAATGGTAATAGGAATTACAATTGGGTATGAGGGGACCTCATATTTCTCATCTATTCTTTGCGGATGATGCCCTCTTTTTTTTAGGGCTACAGATCAAAGTTATCGGTCAATCACTGACGTGCTGAATAAGTTTTGCAGCGTGTTGGGATAACAACTAAATTTAGGAAAATCACATTTCAAGGTTAGCCCTAGCACTCCAATTGAAGTCCAACAATATTTCAATGGACTTTTGTGTATGGAGTAGGTTAATCAGTTTGGCCCGCACTTAGGGGTCCCAACCAATATCGTAGGACGGAAAGTCATATCTTTTCACTTTATCATTGATAACATTGGGCAAAAAATCTCAGCTTGGAATGTAGTCTTTCTTTCACAGCCACAAAAACTTATATTGATTAACTCTGTTTTAACACGCTCTATATAGACCCTAATCTGGGAGCCTGGCGATTGCCTCACATGTTTTGACTTGTTTCGAAATTCCTGCATATCCATCGCAAATAAGGTTGATTCTCTTTTAGCTGGTTCTTCTGGGATACTAAGGAGCACAAAGGTATGCATAGGTGAACAAGGAGACTATGCATCTTCTGAAAGGTATGAGTTGACTTGGAATTCACAGGTTGACATCCTTTAATAAAGCTCTACTAATGAAGCAAGTATAGAGGATTAGCCATAATCCTCAATTGCTTCTTTCAAAAGTGTGCGCAGGGCTTCACAAGGGGTGTTCGCCTTTTCTTCAACACAAGAAATTATTCATGGGGCGTGAGGGATCTTGTAAGAGTGGCAAACTTGCTCATCAAGGGTTGTAGTTGGAAGATAGGGAATGGCAAATCTATTGTGGCAGGAAAGGATAGATGCATGACATGTAAGGTCCAGAATTCAAGACTTATGTGACTTTATCACAAGCGAAGATATGGAAAGCAATTGACTTTATGGCACCCCTTGGGTGTGGATGGAATCAGGCGAAGCTACTGTCCTGCTTTGAATTGCGAGCTTGGAATACCATATTAGATTTCAGCGGACTATATGTACTGGTAGCATCATAGATCATGAAGTTTTACGGTGAAAACGGGCTATGCTTTCATGATGAATTTAGAGGGATGTATTCCTTTGGAAGGTATGAAGGACTTTTTTAAGGTCTTGTTGTCTCTCAATATTCTCCCTAAATGATAGATGTTCATGTGGAGAGTGTTATCAAACGGGATTGCAACAAAGGGTAGTTTGGGACAGCAGGGAATGGCTATTGATACACTTTGTGATCTGTGTCGGCTCAAAGAGGAAGATTTATAGCATCTTTTCAGATCTTGCACGACTACAACGGATGCTTAGAAGGGTAGAATACTACAGATCCACTTAGAAGCAAATGCAGACCAGCCAATTGTTGACTGAATTATGTACCATATCCGCCTATTTATAGGCCAGGATAGAAATAGTGTTCATAGGACTACTTTGTTTATAGCCATACTTTGGGGGTTATTGGTTGCAAGAAACATCAGAATTTTTGGAGGATCAAATTGTTGGGTTTTGCGATGTCCGACATCGCGCGGAAACAAAACCCGTTAACCGGATCGCATTCATAATAATTACAACATAAATAAAATCATGCAAAATAAACATAAACATAAGAGAAGAGAGAGAATGCTCACCCTTGTAACGTGCTTCGCTCAACCTCGAGCTCGGACTTGAAAGTTTCAAGTTTCGCAAGTGCGAGAACCTCCAACGGCTCACACCCTCGCTACCGAACCGTAACCGGTCCCTACCCCGAAGCTTAGTTGGGGCTAGACAAAAAATAACTTAGAGTTTAAGAACAAAGGTTTTCTCGCTTTTGGAAATCCCTTGGAGTTCACCAACTCAAGTGAAAATCCCAATACCCCATGATGGGTATTTATAGGGAAATCTCCCCAAGAATTCCCATCATCTTTCAATGTGGGATAGTTGGTAAAAAGCAAAAGCCATGAAACAATAATCAAATGACAAGTGTCAACATGAGGGAGGGAGTAGGTAAGGACCACATACCCATCCTTGGAGAGCAAGCATAAACCCACCAACTCACATATTTGGTCAACACAAGGAAGACTGGCCACATGCCTTGGGCCTCAAGGCTCGCCTAGCTGGCAGCCTTGCCCTCGGCTGGCCTGCTATGATGCCGCAAGCCCACACGCAGTAGCACGCACAGGCTATGCGCCTACCGCAAGCACGCAGTAGCACGCACAGGCTATGCGCCTACCGCAAGCACGCAGCAGCACGCACAGGCCATGCACCTATCGCAAGCATGCAGCAGCACGCACGAGCCCAGCAGTAACCTAGCAAGCTTGGCCTGCTTGCTGGCCTTGCAGTGCAGGTGCACCAGGCTGCCCAGGCAGCCCGTACGCAACGGCCAACCTAGTTGGGCATTGCGATGGCTTGGTGCTTTGGTGCCTGCGGCCCCTAGCCACTTGCCTTCGATCCAAGGCGTGGCTAAGGCTCTTGCTATCCTTGTAATTTTTAGCACGATACGTCATTTGTTTATTTTTCTCGTCTTCGTCGATTCCTAAAATTGACTCGACGTACGACGCTCAGTTTCGACGCTCTAAGCTCGGAATTCGACGTTTTGTTCGTAAAATCTTTATCGACTTATTTAATCCTTCGGATTAATTCGTCACTTCGGTTCGGTTACACGATTGGGTGTGACTCGAAGGGTTAAGTCAGGATTAAGCTGTAATATTAATTATTCATTAATATTACTAATCGGAAGTGGCCTCCAGCTAGGCATTCCGATCACTTGACCTCACTGAATAATTAGTTTTCTAATTAATTCCGAACCCTCTATCGGAATAATACACTTGTTCAAAGGACATCATTCCTTTCACAAATAGCAGTCAATTGTTGATGCCGACTATTATCTCAGAAGGATTGAGGCAGCACAGTCTATTTTAGAATATATAGGGGACAATCTATGATGTTTGCACCCTCCAAAGCGAGGACTAGATCATCCACCAAGGTTCATACAAGCTATTTTACATAATGATGGCACGGGTGGTATTTTTACGACGACAATATTGGTAGATGGTTCGTGGAATAAAGGTACTCATGGTTCGAGATGGGGGTGGTGTCCAAAAATAGAGGAGGTTGGTATCAGGGAATGTTGGGGGGGGGTGTCATGGTTTGGTTCAATCAGCCTTACATGCGAAGATGAATGCTTGTCTTGAAGGTCATCGGTGTGGAGCAAAGCGTTTATTGCATGCTATCACAATTTACATGGATTATGTTTCTTTGGTTAAGATGCTCACGGAGGAAATTGTTACTGATATCAATCTTAGATGGACGATAGATGATATTCGCCGAACTAGTAAGGCCTTTACATGGTGTAACACAAGCATCCACAAGATTCAAAGGGAACAAGTTCACAAGACGCGTATCCTTGCTATCATGGCTAATAGTAGTTTATCTTCCTTTAAAAATGCGTTTTAGTTTGTTTAAACTCATGTCAAAAAAAAAAAAAAAAAATGAAATCATAGTAAAGTAACCCCGTTGATCATGAGATACATAAGGGATATCATTTATGATACTCAAACTCCTAGTTTGAGCTAGTAGGAAAATATGAGTAGCTTTGCAAAATAATACGAGTACTAAGCAATAAGCATAAGACCATAAGAAAAGTAGGAAATAAGCTCCATCTTGATCAATCACAAATTCACAAGAATGAGCATAGTTCATCGAGATCTATAATTTAAATTTCAAAATCTACCGTTTATACATATACAAGTCATGCCTTCTATTATAATAGGTATATACAAATAGGTTATAAGTTAAAATCGATATTCGATTCAATAGCAAACTCGTACTTCATAGCCCCAGAAAATTAGTGAAAACTGCAAAAACTAGTAACAAGGTTGAGGACGCTGCAATTCCTCCTAGCAATAGAACATGACATCCCTCACATTTTCCTTGATCTTTGGAAGGGGCTGAACCTCTGCTTGTTTGTCCTTGGTCAGATCTTTGGTATTGGACTATTGG